TTAGTTTTATTTTTTTCCGAGATGCGTGCATGATGTTCCCGAAGCCATCATGGTTAGGTCCATTAGAATGCATCATATCTTCGATAACATGATGACAGTACGACTTCAGTTCAAGTTTAGTTATCTCCGGACATGTAAACAAATATATTTGATTAGGAAAATAATGTTAAGTATACATTGGGTATTTATCCTTCAATTAAGATTTACACAGCAGACAATATAATTTTACTAACCAGGATTTGGACGGTCAATCATTATTTGACACCGTAAATCCCTGCTTCGATAAGTCCAAGTTATGCCCCAAACATGTTGCGCGTCCAAACAGGTAAAATATTTCATGTATGGGACAAATAAATTCCGGAGATCCCGCGGGAGGCAATGACCGGATTTCGAGACGATATTGAAGATATATCATGGTTCTTACGGGTTTTTGACCATGATATAAGTCTTATTTATAAATCTTTTATAGGGTTTTCGAGTTTTTCTGAGTCAGTTCAGGGTTAGAAGCTATTTGGCATGTATTGGAGCTTTTTGGAGCATTTGGGAGCATTTGGAGAAGATGAGCCGAAAGAAGATATTGGGAGAGCATATTTGGAGTCAGTGTCGATCGACACAACACCTGCTGTCGATCGACACCAATATCTGACGGCAATTGAATTTCGAATTTAATTGAAGTTCAGAAGATTTGCATATTCGGCGCAAAAGTTTTCCTTATTTGCAATAAAGCACAGTTCGTGGTGTAGACATATATATTGAGTTTTTAGGGTTTTGTTAAGACTTAAGATTTATTTTGGAGAGAGAGATTTGTAGAGAGCTATGAGAGAAGAATCAAAACCTCTTTCAGAGAAGATTCAAAAGTCCTTTATTTCTTCTATTGAGTTCTTTAATGATATCTATTTTATTCATGATGTTTGTTTCATTCACCATGTCTGAGTAGATTTCTTGTTAGGTTTAGGGTTTTCAAAGGAATTCATGAATTGTTAGATTGTTAGGATGGAATCAATAGAGTTCTTCATCTAGATTTTGGTTAATTTGTTCTACAGTAGTGAAAGCAACCTAAAATTTGATTCTTAGGTTAACTAGTAGACACGAAAGTGTTATTAATTTCCTGAAAATAATCTAGATGAGCAAAATACCTATTCGCAAAGAGATTTGATTTAGGGATTTTGTGAACTTATCAAACCTGAATTTAATGCATGTCTTAAACTTATAATTTGCAAATAGATTTGGAATTTAGGGTTCTAGACGTAGATAGTCTTTGCAACGAAACTTGATTGATTATATTTTTGTGATTTGAGTTCAAGAACGGTGCTTTATAAATCCTAACAATTATTTATTTGCAATTCTGAATTATCTGAGCATATCCCTAGGCCTAGCGTTTCCTCATTATTGTTTTAAAACCAATCTTTATTTTAATTTGCCGTTTGCTTAGCTTAATTTTAATACCGATTATTTATTGTGTAATATTTGAGTCTCTGTATATTCGTTCACTAAGTAATACAGTGATCTTTTAATTGAGAGAGTATCTCAGGGCAAATTTGAGCCGTGGACATAGTCTCAAGGAAATATGATTTTTCTCGACTCAAATGACATGTTGATTTACATACCTTAACACCAGCTGCCACATAACGCTTTTATATACAAGAAAATATAGCAATACCAACTATAAAAAGTAGAAGAAAAGATAGCAATACCAATTATAATCAGTATATTTCAAATTTAATAAAAAAATATTTACAGTCTTACCACATTATTAAAGATTTTTCAACGTAAATTCCGTAGGTCCCTATTTAAAATAACACGAAGTGTTAAGAAATAGAAATCTATAGATATTAAAATATTAAATTCGTACAAATATATACCTTCTCGCTATACAAACCAGATGATAATAAATTCGCCTCATGCAGTCAAAACAAAACTTAATGTTATCACCTACCTTTTATTTATTGTCATATACGTAAAGAGTTGGTAATGACGACAAAATTTAATTAATACCAACCTTTTCATAAAACTCCATCAAATATTCTCCGTGCGAACCTCTCTTATGACCGTCGGGAAGATATTAGATCATTTAAAAGTTAGCGAGTAAGGTACAATTACTAATAGAAGAGAATTTAGTAAGGATTAATTGTTTACACAATCATATAGAGTCTCCAAATTAAAGCTAGCGTCTTCCGATCCCGATATTATAAAATTTTCCCTATGTTCGTGGATAAAAGGAACCAATAACATACCGTGTTTTATAAATGTTAGTGTAGAGATCATAGTTTTAGAACATAACTCTAGAATTCTTGTCTCTAAATATACATGTTGAAAGGATATAATTTTGTATTCTATATCCCTGCGCGTCCTATGTTTGCGTAGAGGTTTAAATGAATTGATTTGGCCACCTATGTCAACAAAGTCTACTTATCTTTTTGGTAAAAGATCCTTAGAGAACTCTACAGTTAAGCGTGCTTATGCTCGAGTAGTCTCCGGATAGGTGAACTTCCGGGAAGTGGTTGTAGGAACGGTGTGAGTGAGGAAAAAACACCAGGAAAGATCAGGTGCTGGTTTGTAGGGTCGGTAAACAAGTTCTCAAGCCTCCCAGACGTAACAAACCGACCGCCGAATTTGGGTGGGCACATGTGCCCATTAAGAGAGGTGAGCCTATGGGCTAAGAATGAACATAGTTCGCACTAGAGAGGTGACGGTCGGGGCGTTACATATGATCATGAATTTTTCTTGAAAATAGTGAAAGTTACTGAAATTTTAAAACGTATAATTAGTAATATATAAGGATGGATGGAAAGTAAAAGTTAAAAAGTAGAGAACATTACAGTAAGTAAAAAGTATTTTGAAGTTGTATGACACATATTATATGTTACACGTTCTATGAAACATCGCCCTACAACGTACTAAAATATCTATAATCACAATCTCCAGAAATCTAAAAAGTAGAAGACATTAAGACTTACGTAAGCCGAGCAATATTTTGAGTTTGTATGAAAAATATCTCATGTCAAATATCAAATATTTATAAGAAAATATGAGGCAGTTATAATCTAGGGTTTACCTTGACAGCGTTGCAAAATTATGTATGGTTCTAATTAGGGTGCCAATTAGGTAATCTTTTATAAATTTTCAAGCAGAAGGCATATTAAAGTGGACTCTTTTTTTTTTTTTTTTTTGTCATAGAGTTTTTAAGCACTAAATACAATACAGCCATAAGCTAATATTACAAATAGACTAAATTTTGTAACCGAATCATCCGCTTCGGTTAGCTGCTTAGATCGACAAAGAGGACAACTAAGTGGACCTTATTATTAACATATAAATAACTCAATAAACTTTATGGACCCGTTTTATTTGGTTGGAAATAGTCATATCAATCTGAAATAGTAATCCAACGTAATGAATGTTATTGACCCAACTTTAAAGCCCAACAACTTTGACCCGTTTAGTGGATCTGACGACCCGACTGTTGTATTTAGTAGAGGGTATAATGGTCTTTTCTAGGCCAACGATGCCCTCATAGGCCTCCAAACCGGGTAAAGTGCTTGTCAAATAATATATATACTAGGTTTGGACCCGCGTCACAGTGCGCAGAAAATAATTACTTATCTATAATATTTAACGGATTTTTTAAAATAATTTATTTAATCTTTTACCCAAAAAAAAATTTAACGGATTAAATTATATTACATTTTAATTTTATTAGTGCAGTCGATTACAGTAAATCATATATTTGTATAATAAGTTTAAATAAAATAATAAAGAAAAAGCGAGTAAATAATAATATATTGAGTTTTGATACAATTAAAAAAAGGGTGAACATTTAACAGCACGAAAGAATATTTATCGATAAATTGTTCAATTTGACCATTTTTGGAATAGAAGTAGGAATAGACGTTAAAATTACACACTTACAATATATTTTTGGAAGAACCAACCCGTAACAGAATTCATATCGTAAAAAAATATTATTCATAACTCGGTTTACCATTACAATTGTGATTTTAACAAACTACCCGTGGACTATTTAAAATTTACGTAGTTTGATATATAATATTTTATCAATAAAAATCATGTCTCCAAATTTACATCTATGTCTTTAAACAAATATTTTAAATATGCTTATGTAACAATGGTTTTAATATTGGTCATACTTATAATGATTTTAAATCATTGTCCAAAATATTTAACCGAGTGTAATTGAGTATTATATGTCCGTTTTGAAAAATTTAAATTGCAGCATATGCAAAAAAAGTTAAAAATTTTTGAAACATTTTTATTATTTAGTATAATATCAGAAATTAAAAAAAAGATCAAATAAAAGTGAAAGAAGAATAATAATTTTTTTAATATATTATATTAAATTAGTTAGATAAATATTAGGAAATCCTAAAATTAGTTATGGAAATAATATAATACTAAAATTAAATATGGAAAGTATCCGATGTATGTATCCAAACCCATTTTAATATCCAATTTTAAAGTATCCAATTGTTAAAATCGGGTTATTTTTTTAATCTTGACCCGACACGCATTCTATTTTGTACTTCTCTTTTACTAATATAGAGATACAATTTTATAAAAACAACTAATGTAGTTGTAGTTGTGTGCGATTTACAACCGAATAAAAAATATTCAACTTCCAAAAATAACTAAAACTCTATAAATTTACTTCCACAATCAAACATTTTTTTTGTGAGCTCCAAACCAAGTGGTTCAACCGGTTTACCTGGTCACGGGTTAATTGCAAGTTGTTATGAGGTTTTCCGGGTTTTAGATTGTCGATTTTTAGTATTTAACCCAAACTGGAGAAGTTTCAAGTTCATGGGTTAACCGGTCGGACAGACTGGCTCAATCTAGGCATGAAAACATTGGAAAATAGCATGCGCCATAGCGCAGTATTTAAGTAAAGTTAACTATCCAAATGATTTCCTTCTTAGTTGATCTCAAAGACAATGAACTACAGCGGAATCGAAAGAACCTAGCGAGACATGTTGACCATATTATCAACGCCTCCTAGTCCTACGACAAGAATGGGGTTGGTTGAGAGGAGCTCCACACTTGTAGCAAAAAGGCAACCCACATCTGCAAAAAGTGTCTAAAGATATAACTGTTTTGTTTATTTCAAGTTTTTTTTTTTTGTATTGCAAACAAGAACAAAGAAAGATACCTGCATATCACGGTTGAGCAACCCCTAGTCTTTTGAACGTAGAATTTGCAATTAGGACATCTTTTCCACTTCTTACTCTCAGCCATCTTCTTCAACAAAATATCATCTCTTTCTCTTTCGTTCTCGCCTAACTTCTGAAACTCCTCACATGTTATCTCCGCATGCCACTTAGTCCCACACTCTACACATACCATTCTATGGCAGTGAGGGCACTCTGATTCTTTTATCTTCTCATCCATGTAGACCAAAGCAGAACAATCTTTATACGGACAGTAGAATCTAGTCGAACCGGCAGTTATCACCGCTTCGCAGAGAGCGTCGCCCCAACGATCAAAGACCTCTCCCGGCAAGATTAAACGGCATTGGTCAGGCTCGAGCTGCCCGGGGCAACCAGAAACAGGGCATTTGATTGAGAGGATGTTGTCTTGTAACCTAGCAGCTATATACTTTGAGACACAATCATTACAGTAGGAGTGAGAGCATTCATTGATTCGAAAAGATTCAATCTTTGGTTTGCGTTCAACACATATCTCGCAATCAAAGGTTCGTCTAGTGGATGAGGACGACGAGGACTGTCCCTTTCCCATAGAGGTTGGTGTGAAACAGAGGATCTTGAGATCGTCATCTTCATCAAGATCAACGTAGTTTGAGAAGTCTGATTTGACTAGGGTTTGTTGTGAAGAACCAAGCCGGGGATAAAGGTGGCGTTCACGGTCGTAGTCCTCGATGGAGATGGCGTCAAGTTTTGTTGAACCACGAGCAGAGAGAGGTGTGGAGAAGATGGATTTGTTGTCTCTGTCGCCATTGACGGTGGCTGCATTGATCGACTGTGTGGTCATTTGGTTTAACCACGAGCAGAGGTGTGGAGAAGATTAGGGTTTTATGTTTCTCTTGCTTGCGTTGTTAAATTTGAATTTTGGTTTTTTTTTTTTGTCATGTTAAATTTGGTTATAATTATTTAATGGTTACTTTATATATTTTTACTTGCCTTTATAATATGATGGTATATTTAAATAATATTTACTTTACAATATGAAGTATTTGTAATTATATACAGTAGTTCAAATATATAAAGTAAATTATTATTTTTTCTGATTAAACTAACCTACATATAATTAAACTAATTGTAGTCATGAACCTATAAATAATTAAATTATTTTTTTATTTAATTAACGGAAATGAGTAATCTATATTAATATTTTTGCAGCAGTTTTGTAAAAAACCTTGGAGTTGAAACTTATTTACAAGCCATTGCCACTCACATTACTTGAATTTCTCCCTAATTTTAGAAGAAAAAAAAATTAAGTTACACATCAATAAACAATTAATTCAGAAAAATCCCTAAATTCATTCTCCTCAAATCTATCTAATTTAATCTATTAACAAAAACATTTTAAAAAACTTTTAACCCTCAATTTTAAACATATATATATATATATATATATATTAAATATATAGATAATACATAAATATTAGGGGGATTTGCACAACTAACATTTTTATGATACCCTTTTTTACAAGTATCCTCTCTAGGTGTCCATTTTCAAAAATACCATTTTCAATGTACAAAATGACTAAATTACCTTTTTTATTATAGCTCATGATGAAGAAAGGAATATTCTTACCAACAAAAAGAATATTGCTTCCAACAAAAAGAACTGCAGATCAATTGGTGACAACTTGTCAAGTGGGAAGTTTGTTAAAGGGTGAGGACCTGGGTTCGAGAAACGCTAGGCGCACCAATAACCTACCTGGTGGGCCAGCAGGCTGCGAGCAGTGGGCTGTGCAGTTTGGGCCCGCAGGAGAGAGGTTAGGGTCGATGCGCTGCAGCGTTATATCTACCATGTGGTGGGCTGTGCCATGTGGTAGGGGTTCCCACGGGATGGGTTGTTACAGGGAAAAAGGTGGCGATCACGGTCGTAATCCTTGACGGAAATGGCGTCAAGTTTGGTTGAACCACGAGAAGAGAGAGGTATGGAGAAGATATAGATGGTGTCTCCGTCGCCATTGATGGACTGTGTTGTCATTGAAGGATAAGATTAGGGTTTTGTGTTTCTCTTGCTTGCGTTGTTGGGTTGGTTTCTGAAGCGTCTCATTTTTGGTGTTAAAACTTAAACATAGGGTTGTGTCTACAGAATAGTTGTCCAAAAATTAAATAACTACTATAATTTTACAATTTTTTTTTGGTGAAGCACTATAATTTTAAAATTTAATGCCTATGGGTAGTCATATATTCTCTTAAGATTTTTTGATATACTACCAGTCTCCAGTCAGTCTTCCCCTATTTTCTTTCCATTTTCCGTTTTCAATTTTTTTTCAATTTTTTATTATGATATTTTCTGCATAAAGAAATATATATTCTTTATATATTTATTAGATTATAGGGCTGATTAGTTACGGTTGTACATTTAAATAATCGTGCGACTACACTCGCGACTTACTTTCAAAAACCGTGTTCTGTATTTTTTTTTTTTGTTTTTTTTGATACCTTGTAATTATGAATATATTCAGGGGCATAAATGTAAATTAAATCATCTAAACTGAAGAAGAAGATAAAGAGTGAGATCCATAAAGCTTTAACGATGGCATTTCGAAATCGTGCGACTGTTTCTTGTTTGAAATCGTGCCACTTTCTCCAGCGATTTTAAATCCATCAATCTTTAATCGCATCGATTGAAAACTTTAAAATAAAGTAGAGATGAATGAGATTTAAAGACAATTCAGTTACAGAATAATCAGTTGCAGGTAAGAATCTCACGATTCTTAAAAGAACACGGCCTTAAAGACAGATTGTTTTGGATCCGGGTATGATCTATTCGGATCTTGAATAAGATATTAATATCTGGTGTGATGACATGTGAAGTTTAATTTATTAGCTGGTATATTTTCCTGGAAAAAATAAATAAATCAAAAGATAATAGCTAACCACAATTTATGGAAAATTATTTAAATTTGTTACTATAAAATCCAGTCTATTAAATTCAAAATTATATACAATAAACAGATTTTAGATACTTTTAATATATCTTTACCTAGTTTAAACAAATATATTTCAAAAAATTACTATTATACATTCACTTTTATTTAATTTTATTTCTATTATTTTATTATATAATACATATGTTGCAATTAGATCTTTTTGATGGACATATATTACTAAATTGATAAAAAGGTATATTCACTTTTTAAATATCTTGATGATATCTTTTGCAAATGTCAAGCGGTCAACACCATAGACATAAATTCTGGTACACCGGTCAACTGATTCTGGCGTTGACCGGTGTTGACTCCGGCGTTGACCGTTTTTGACCAAAACAATATTCAAATTTTTTTTTTATAATTTTATTTATACTATTAAAAAACTAAAAAACTATAATTTTTTGAACTTTTTTAGTATACAAAACTATAAAAAATTTCAAAATATGATATTATTAAAAAATATAATTTTAGGAAGAAAATGACGACGGTGATTTTGTATTTAATTCAAGATATTAAAATCTAAATTAAAACTAGAAAAATTCATGATACTAAAATCTAAATTAAAACTAGAAAAATTCAAGATACTAAAATCTTAATTAAAACTAAAAAAATTCTGTGAATTAGTAAGGGAAGTACTTATTTTTATATTGTTAATAAAAAAACATTAACTTATTATTTGATTTTATTTAAATACAAAATCAGCATAGAAAATTCCTAAGATTATATATTTTTCTTTATATAAAACCATAAACAAATTAATAAAAAACTGTTGATTTTTTTATATATATATTCAATATATAAACACTAATTTTGTTTATATAGTTAATGTATCCATTCTTATTATAATTAGTTATTTTTAAACTATAGAGCTAATTAATAGTAAAATAATTATAATCTAAACTAAAACTGGAAAAATCTTATGAATTAGTAAGGGAATTGCTTATTTTCACATTGTCAATCAAAACCATTAACTTATTATGTGATTTACTTAAATACAAAAAATCATTGTTACAATTTTCTTCCTAAAATTGTATTTTTTTTGAAGTATACAAAACCTTAAAAATTCATTATAAAATAATTATAGTTTTTAGTTTTTTTAACAGTATAAATAAAATTAGGGGAAGTTTCAAAAATACCCCTTTTCCAATAACACTTTTAAAAAATACCCCTCTTTCTAATTTTATCATAAAGTCACTATAAAATTTGAAATTTATCAAAACAATATGTGTAAACTTATATTTATAGACACAAATTATCTTTATATGTGTGTAAATTTATATATATATTTCATAAATACCGTATAAATACCGTTTTAAAAACATATAAAAACCTTATAAAAACTTTGTAAACCTTTTAAAAACCTTATAAAAACCATATAAATGCCGTTTAGAACTTTTTAAAACCTTCGAAATATTTGGATTTAGTCTCCCAATAGTAATGATGATTTTGATATACCTTATCAACCATATAAGAGTTTATAATTTTTCATATTTGAAAAGGGGTATTTTTGAAAATGTATAGAAAAGAGGGGTATTTTTAAAAAGGGGTACACCAAAAAGGGTATTTCTCAAAAATGCTCATAAAATTATATATTTAAAAAGGGAAAAAAGTTTAAAATACTTTATCTATTTTTTATTTGGACGTTTAATACTTGATCTTTTTTTGTTGGAAAAATAATACCTAAAATAATAAAAAAGTACAATTTAATACTTAAAATATGAAATATTGTCATTTTCATACCTACGATCTCTCAACAAAAAAAATATTACAATTTTACCCTTATTAATTTCTATTTATTATTAGTGCATAAATGACATTAAATTAAGTATAATTTTATTTGAAGAAAAATATTTGTTAGTAATATTTCAATATATCATTAATTTATATATTTAATTCAAAATATAATTTCATATTTCATTTCTATCAAAAATATTTTTTTAAAGATCAGGTATTAAATGTCCAAATAAAAAATTAATGAGGTATTTTTAAGCTTTTTATTTTGAATATTTTGTTTGGTCAAAAACAGTCAACGCCAGAGTCAACACCGGTCAACGCCAGAATCAGTTGACCAGTGTACCAGAATTTTATGTCTATGGTGTTGACTACATGACGTTGTATAGTTGATGCATGTGACCATGCAATACATATAGATCGTGTAGCTGAGTGTACAATATAATACTTAGCATGTGTGACCATGCATTCTTCTATAGTTTGTGTAGCGAACCATATTTTTTCCATATCTTTTTCCAAATCTATACTATATAAAAGTTGAAGTTATATAAGCTCCTAAAGGCGTCCACATATGATTTTAAACGACGAATCACGGTTAGACATCTCAATATTTAACATTTTTAAAATTATGACGAATTTTATGTTAAGATTTATTTTGTAAAAAGGCAAATAATATATATATATATATATATATATATATATATATATATATCTGGAAATAAAAGATATATTTTAAAACATGAAAATATTTCTAAATTTAGTATTTCTTTTTCATAAAAAATAAATGATATAAAACTAATCAAAATATAAAAATTTAATTTTTGTTAAATTAAAAACGAAAAGACTTAAAATTATTTATTAAATATTTAAATTAAAATACTTCATAATTTATTGTGAATATTGTGTTTAAGTAAATTTCTATTTATAAAAAGTAAAATCGAGTTGAGTAATTAAGACAACTAGCCCTAACAATTCAACTATAAATAAAGAGTCTAGACCTTTACATTAGTATCTTGTTCTATTAGTTTCGTAGTTCTGATGTTTTTTTTTTTTGGTGCAGTTTGATTTTTAGATAATATTTTTTTTTTGTATTTGCGTTTTTTGAATTGTTTCAATGATTTCATTTGTTTATCATCCGTTTATGATTTTGTGTTCCATTCAAGGTTATAATTGTGGTTTTATAGTGTTGTATTATTTTGGTGTGTTTTAATTGTTTAGTGCAATTCTAACTTTTTGTTTTCTTACGTTTTGTTTATGTAATCGGAGTATTGACTATATTGGAATCTTTGATTGAAAAAGTCTTTTAATGAAGTAATTGGAGTTGATGTTAGGCAGAGGATGCTAAAGTAAAAAGCACAATCCAATATCTTTATTTGTCTGCTTTTTGTTTGTTTATTATTTATTGATATCTTGGTTATTTAATTTATTTGTTTATGAAATTTAGTATGGGTATTCTGGAAGTATAAAACTAAATTACGGTAGAAAGTAAGAAAGACATCTAATTCGAGTTTAGGAGTTTAGATGAACGATGTTGTTTTGAGTAGTTAATTCATTAATCATCAACGATAAATAATTTTAACCAAAATATCTCAAATATACCCACGCGTAGCGTGGGTTCAAAACATAGTATATTAAAAACTAAGTCTAACAACCATTCTAAAAGTAAACTAATCCTATTTTTAAAGATGTAAGTAACATAATTAAGCATTGTAATTATTCGAACTTTTTTTAAAGAAAATTCATTGTTTTTTGTTTCTTAAGTTAAGAAGCTAGCAAATAAATATGATTTCATCATGTTTAGTTTAATGGTGCATGTTTATGATATTAGAATGGCCATGTTTTGTTTCGGATTAAATTTTATTTAAGAATTTTATTATGACATATTCAACTGTGTACATTTTGGTGTATGTGAAACTAAAACATTGAAATCTCCACAATAGAAAAATATTTACCAAATTGTATTTTAACTATTAAATAACTTTCGTTATACTATCTGCTTAAATAGGATACAAAACTATAATACTGTCTACTTAAATAATATACAAAACTATCATACTGTCTACTTAGGTGGTGAAGAATCTTATAGAGTCTCCGTTATTGATGCACATTTACAAGTAGAGGTTAATGGTGTTTTTGATTAACGGCGGAAAATATGTAGGCAAAATATTGGCTTGAGAGGAGAGAAAGAGAAATAGAAAAAGTAGAAAAATAAGGTTGTGACAAGAGAGAGCACCATTAACCTTAACAAGCATTCACATACAGTACGTTTAAGAAGAAAGCTCCAAAGCTCAAAAGGAGTTGTGGAAGGAGAATTCTGAAACGTTGATCGAAGAAGAGACGTGACGGTGATCAAAGTCAGACACCAAACAATAATGGAGCATAAACCGGTTGAAAATTTAACTGAAGAAAAAGTGGATAAGATACACGCGTAAAACATCATGAAGACGTTATGGTGATCAAAGAAAGACACCAAAAAAAGGATACTTACCTAGGAGAAAAATAGAGCATAATTCGGTTATAGAGATAGCCGAAGCAAAAATGAAAAAGTTTACGCAGAAATTTGGTGATAAAAAAGAAACTAAAAGGAAATAAAAAGAAAGCTACTTAAAAGAAAGTGAGTGGAAGAAGGTTAAAACAAAAGGGACGTGACAATGTTTATAACTTGTGTGATAAGAAATCACCAAGAAGGAGACAAAAGATGTCATTCTACTCCTTTGAAAGCTATGACAAACTAAGAAGGAAGCTTAGTGTAAGACCAAAACTCAATTAAGGGGGAGTGTTGGTCGATAATTGATTTTCAGAGTTAAAATGTTTAGGTCGTGACGTTTCTGTTTGTTTTGTTTCACTGAACAGTCACTAAGTATGAAGAGACACAAGTCAATGTTTTGTTGTCACTAGATCAATCGGACAACAAGCCATACACAACATGAAATGGTACTTACATACGTTCCATAAAATATTCAATCTATATGTATTGTGTCATGAAGAATAGTACATTTGATTTAGACATATTGTTTGAGTTTTTAATACATATCTCGTGGTACCCGAGGCTCCACACCTTGCAATGTATAGATTTTCTCCTTTTATTTGTTATCTTTTATTTTACCTTATCTTTTATTTGACTAGTTTGAACAAAATCTAAGAATCTGATCATAGCTTATCTTATATTCAAACTTATCTTTTATTGACTGGTTTGAAATAGTATTAAATCTATTATTTGACTTGTTTGAACTTTGAACTAGTAGTTTCTTGGATAAAGTTACCCTTAAAAATCCATCAATTTGATTCCCCCTTCCCAAAAAAAAAAAAAACAAACAACCAAAGGAAAAAAATCTTATAAATTTTATTCTTCATTAATTTAATTTGTTGACTATCAAAAATGAAGAAATAATTTTTTTGTCTAAGTAAATCAAATTAAATATGAAGTCAAAGCGCCACGTTTCAAATTACCATAAATGAAATGCTCATTAAGTGGTAAGAAAAAATTTAGCTTATCTTAACATGTAGGATTTCTTTTTCCCCTTATTTATGTTTTTGGTTTGGGTTTAAAAATCATTCAGGAAACAAGAAATATTTTATTCATGTCTTTCATATCTTCTCTCCCACCTGATTTTTCACAAAAAATTGCTTTTTCCACCGGCAAAAGATAATGTATAATGTCAAGCCTGCGAGATACGACAAATACCCAAGCGTAGCAACAATTAGACAAGTAAAGTCTGATTCTTATAAAAAATTTTGGTTTTTTTTATCTATGACATATTCAGATTTATAAGTCTTTTGACAATCGAATTATATGCAAATAGGCTTGAAGAAGAAGCATATAAGGACAGAAGAGGATGATGAACGAAGTAAGAACTATTGTTTAATCCTTTTTATTGGTGAGTTTAGCACTGAAGTATTTGAAGCTTTTTTTAAATCTTATGTGGTTTTATTTTGACACTGTACATACGAGAGGGAAGAGAGTGAGGATGAACAATTAACGATCTGAAGCTGGTTCGTCTTCATTGACCAACTCTCGTTCTCTGCGCTTTGCTATGGCTTTAAAGTCAAATGAAAACTCTCTCGTGAGTGTACTCGCATTAAAACAGCTTTGTGCATTTCGTTTCAGATGTGATTGTTGTTTTGTTAGTCTAGTTTAGTTTAGGAGAATTAATACTTTAAAACAAAATGAATAGTTCAATATGGTTTTGCTTAGGCTTATGTACTTGTTCTATATGTTTTACCTTGAATTTTGGTTTACATTGACAGTCTTTTATTCAAGCTACCAATCAAATTTTGTTTGGATTTTGTTAATTATATCAATCAATTAAAATTAAAAAAGGAGAGTAAAGATTTTAATTTCTTTTGATGGATTTGATTTAAATATTATGAGATTTTCCATATTTGATATTTGTTAGTCAAAGCTTTTTTTTTTAATTATTAGGTAAAAATCCAACGAAGAGTCTCCTCTCTTGTAAGTTGTAAATATAGTGTTGAAGAAGAAGCGTACAAGGGGACAGAGAAGGTGCTGAACCAGATAACACCACTAACATCATCTTAGTTTGATGAGTTTTAAATTAAGATATCTGAAGCGGGTTTTGACTTGTGTGCTTTTTTTGTTGACACAGTATGTACGAGATGGAAAAAATAGAGAATGAACAATTCATAACCCGAAGTTGGTTCGTCTTCACTGAACAACCCTAGTTGTGTGCGCTTTGCTATGTCTTCATAATCAAAGGAAAATTCTCTGGTGAGTTCACTCGCATATGAACCGCTTTGTGTATCTTGTTTCAGATGTGAATGTTGTTTTTTTGGTCTAGTTTAGTCTAGGAGAGTTAATACTTGTCGAAACAAAATCAAAAGTTTATTAATTTATTATGTTTTTGGTTTTAGTTTTTTTTACATACTTTAGGCTTATCTATTGTATTTAATTGTATTTTTGGTTTCCACAGAGTGGAATTTTACAGGAGAAAACATTTCTTCTGCAAACAATGCTTGTATAGCCATCGAAGAAATAACATTCAAGGTAACACCAATATGTTGTTTATTCTTGATGTATACTTGAAGTTTTTGGTCAAGTACAAACTCGTGAATGATCAGAGGTTAATATATATTTAAGTTTGGGCACATTGTCACACCAATTCTGATTGATGTTGTCTCTTCGTTGGATTCAATTATTCAATATGGAGAAGTGATTCAGCAGCCTTATAAATCCAATATTTTATTGGTCATGTCTAACTATGTCTTTATTTTTTGGTGAATATAAGGCACAAGTTTTGAGCAATGCAACTACACTACTTGAACATAATCCAATAAACCTAGATGTTTACAATACAATTACCCATGGAAGACTAGCATCGGTTCGTCTAGACCTCGTTCCACCACTCTTTGAATACTTTATGGAGAGTAAAATGATTCTAAATCCCAAAAAAACAAGAAATTGGAAACGTTAGCAAACCTAATTTTTTGGATTGAGAGTCTTTTTACTCTCCATGAAGTACTTCAAGTGTGGTGGAAAGAGGTCTGTACGAACCCGTGCTAGTATCCCATGGTAATAGCACTGTTAACAGCTAGGTCAATTGGCTTGTTGATTAGATAATGTAATTGCATTCCTAAAAAATTTTGCCTTCTTCACTAAAAAAAGAGAGGCATAGTTAGACATGGCAAAAAAAAATTGGATTTATAAGGCTGCTAGAGTCACCTCTCTATATTGAATAATTGAGCCCAAGGAAGAGACAACATCGGTCACAATTGTTGAGACTTTGTGACCAAACTGAAATATATATTGAGCTTTTATCATTCACGAGTTTGTACTTAGCTAGAAACTTCAAGCATACATCGAGAATAAGCAGCATGTTGTTGTGACCTCGTATGCAAAATCTCCAATGGCTATACAAGCATTGTTTGCAAAAGCAAGTTTTTCGCTATTAAAACTTCCAGTCTATAGAAATCACAAATACGATCAAAATTATGTACATATTGTATTTGTTTTACGTGAGTTTTGGTTAATATTTGTAGTCGTTTACTAAAGCTAGCTAAACCAAATTTTGTTTGGATTCTTTTAGTAGCAAATAATTTTACCTTACAGTGGAAATTTTACGGGAGAACACCTTGCTTAGCAAACAATGGTTGTATAGCCATTAGAGAATTAGCATTCGAGGTAAGACCAATATGCTGTTTACTCTTGATGTATGCTTGAAGTTTTTGGTTAAGTTAAAACTCGTTAATGACAAGTGCTAATTATATCTTTCAGTTTGGTTAGGAAGTCTTACCAATTGTGACTGATATATCTCTTCCTTGGGCTGGACTATTCAATATGGAGAAGTGACTCTAGCAGACTTATAAATTTAATATTTTATTGGCCATGTCTAGACATGCATGGCAATTAATACATTGGTTCATTTATAAGACCACCAAACTGAAATGTAATTGATCTGTTATCATTCACGAGTTTTTACCTAACGAGAAACTTCAAGTATACATCGACAATAAATAGCATAATGGTGTTACCTCGTATGGTAATTCTCCAATGGCTATACAAGCTTTGTTTGCAGAAGCAAGGTTTTCTCCCGTAAAATTTCCACTAAATACAAATCAAAATTACTATTAAATCCAATAGCTAATCATAAATACAATGAAAAGTATATACTTGTTCTATTAGTTTTACTTTAGTTTTGGTTTAAATTGATAGTTATTTACTGAAGCTAGCTATACCAAATTTTGTTTGCATTCTGTTAATTGAATCTACCAAATTTAAAAATAAAGAAATTAAGAGATTTTGGTCGATGGATTTGATTCATATATTATGATATTTTCCATTTTTGTTAGTCATGGTTATTTTAATGATATTGCAAAAGTAATGAAGTGTTATTCCAGTAATCTTCTCAACACAAATCTATATCAAATCAGCAGTTTTCAATATCAACATAGGGAGTCACAAACAAATTTTGAATTTGATGTTAACATAAGAGATATTTCATTATGACGATGTGGTCGGGATTTCGAATATCAAGAGATGGAATAATAGCTACAGGAGTTGGTTGGAAAAATTATGTAAAGTGAATGACATAAACAAAGGAGATTCATCTACTTTAGAGTTCAGAAATCAAGAAGAAGACACAACTCTGTTGTTTAGGATACGTCCTATATCTCGAGTCTAAAAAGATGTATGTAACATAATTAAGCATTGTATTTATTAGAACTTTTATTAAAGAAAATTCATTGTTTTTTTTATTAGGTTAAGAAGCTAGCAAATAAATATGATTTCATCATGTTTAGCTTAATGGTGCATGTTTATGATATTAGAATGGCCATGTTTTGTTTCGGATTAAATTTTATTTAAGAATTTATTCTGACATATTCAACTGTGTACATTTTGGTGTACATGAAACTAAAACATTTAATTTGAAATCTCCACAATAGAAAAATATTTACCAAATTCTATTTTAGCTATTAAATAAATTTCGTTATACTATTTACTTAAATAGGATACAAAACTATCATACTGTCTACTTAAATTAGTTTCCAAAACTAGTAACTAACGTGATCGAGTCAATTTTATCGATTAGATACATTTTCATGTGTAAAACAAAATTATTGATCAACGATATACATAAAAAATCTAGTTAAAAATACGCTATATATAATATTAAATGATAGACCCTTTCTGAAAAGATACGTAAGGGTTTTGATCTCCCATCAGTCCGTAAGCATTAAATGTAAAACAATAGAGTCTTGGGGATAGAAAGAGTTGGTAATCCTGAGCATTCAAATAAAAATTTGCAACACAACACATAATCAAGCAGAATTTGCAAGAACAACAATGATACAACACATATCCAAGCTGAAGTTTTGATGTGTGGTTAAGAGATTCATTGGTTTAGATGGTGAAGAATCTTATAGAGTTTCCGTTATTGATGCACATTTACAAGTAGAGGTTAATGGTGTTTTTGATTAACAGCAGAAAATCTGTAGGCAAAATATTGGCTTGAGAGGAGAGAAAGAGAAATAGAAAAAATAGAAAAATAAGGTGGTGATAAGAGAGAGCACCATTAACCTTCACAAGCATCCACATACAGTACGTTTAAGAAGAAAGCTCCAAAGCTCCAAAGGAGTTGTGGAAGGAGAATTTTGAAACGTTGTTCGAAGAAGAGTCGTGACGGTGATCAAAGTGAGACACCAAACAATATTGGAGCATAAACCGGTTAAAAATTTAACTGAAGAAAAAGTGGATAAGATGCACGCGTAAAACATCATGGAGACGTTATGGTGATCAAAGAAAAACACCAAAAAAAAGGATACTTACCTCGGAGAAAAATAGAGCATAATTCGGTTATAGAGATAGCCGAAGCAAAAATGAAAAAGTTTATGCAGAAATTTGGTTATCAAGAAGAAACTAAAAGGAAATAAGAAGAAAGCTACTTAAAAGAAAGTGAGTGGAAGAAGGATGAAAACAAAGGGACGTGAACGTGACTGAAAATATCACAGAGGGGACGTGACAATGTTTATAACTTGTGTGATAAGAAATCCCCAAGAAGGAGACAAAGATGTCATTCTACTCCTTTGAAAGCTATGACGAACTAAGAAGGAAGCTTAGTGTAAGACCGAAACTCAATTAAGGGGGAGTGTTGGTCGATAATTGATTTTCAGAGTTACAACGTTTAGGTCGTGATGTTTCTGTTTGTTTTGTTTCACTGAACAGTCACTAAGTATGAAGAGACACAAGTCAATGTGTTGTTGTCACTAGATCAATCGGACAACAAGCCATACACAACATGAAATGGTACTTACATACGTTTCATAGAATATTCAATCTATTTGTATTGTATCATGAAGAATAGTACATTTGATTTAGACATATTTTTTGAGTTTTTAATACATATCTCGTGAAACCCAAGGCTCCATACCTTGCAATGCATACATTTTCTCTTTTTATTTGTTATTTTTTATTCTACCTTATCTTTTATTTGATTGGTTTGAACAAAATCTAAGAATTTGATCATAGCTTATGTTTTATTCAAACTTATCTTTTATTTGACTGTTTTGAAATAGTATTTAATCTTTTATTTGACTTGTTTGAACTTTATACTAGTAGTTTCTGGGGAAACGGCATATTACCCCATAAACTATGTTACTTTATCGCAATCATATACGAAACTTTGTCGTGTGCCTATAACTACATAAACTTGTATTAAATTTGAATTTCATACACGAACAAAACAAATCCGACATAAACCCACAAATCTCTAAACGTCGTTATTGTTCCGTTAACTGAAAGATGACTAGGATGCCACGTGGATGTTGATAATACAAACGACGTCGTATTTAAAAAACAAAAATCCATACACAACTGAGAATCGAACCCATAACCTCTAATTTAATGTTGCATACTTAGTGCCATATGTGCCAACAAATTTTATTGTACATTGACAATCAAATATTAATTTATATATAACGATTCTCTGTTTCTCTCATAGATTCACTCGTCCTCCATGACTGATTTGAAGACAAACGACCATAAAGGTTTGGTTAGATCGAGTAGAAAGGATGAGAAGACAAACGACCATAAAGCTTTGGTTAGGTTTGATTTTGTTTCTCTCATAGATTCACTCGTCCTCCATGACTCGTCCTTCCGATCACTTTTATAATTTCCGATGAGTTTGCTTTCTCATTCTTATCGTCTACTTAATTTCTTTTTTCTCAGATTTATTTATGAACTTATTATTTGGTTTAGATCTCTGAGATTTGATCTTTATTTGACCATTGTGTTATAGATGTAGGATCTAGGATCCAGTTGAAGTTGAATGAGTGATTGTGGTGGGAATGGAGATAAGATGAAGAAATGGAACAAAGCGAAGAGATAGTTTCTTTTTAGTTTTGTTATTTTCATTTAGTTTATATGTATAAATATATATTCATCTAAGCAACTAACAATATGTTCCTGTGGCTCAGTGGTATTACGGTCCTCTGTCTTAAAGGAACAAGGTTCGAACCTCAGGTAAGTAGTTTTTATCTTAATTTTTCTTTTTCAATCCACTTGGCATCAATGTTAGCATATTGTTAACGGAATATTAACATCGTTTAGAGATTTGTGGTTTTAGATCGAATTTGTTTTGTTCGTGTATGAAATTCAAATTTAATACAAGTTTATGAAGTTATAGGCACGCAACAAAGTTTTGTATATGATTACGATAAAGTAACATAGTTTATGGGGGAATATGCCGTTTTCCCTAGTTTCTTGTATAAAGTTACCCTTAAAAACCCATCAATTTTATTCCCCTTCCCCAAAAAAAAATAAGCAAACAACCAAAGGAAAAAAAATCTTATAAATTTTATTCTTCATTAATTTAATTTGTTGACTATAAAAAATAAAGAAATAATATTTTTTTACTAAGTAAATCAAATTAAATATGAAGTCAAAATGCCACGTTTCAAATTACCATAAAGGAAATGCTCTTTAAGTGGTAAGAAAAGATTTAGCTTATCTTAACATGTAGGATTTCTTTTTCCCCTTATTCGTGTTTATGGTTTGGGTTTAAAAATCATTCAGGAAACAAGAAATATTTTATTTATGTCTTTCATATCTTCTCTCCCACCTGATTTTCACAAAAAAAAATTGCTTTATCCAACGGCAAAAGATAATGTATAATGTCAAGCCTGCGAGATACGACAAATACCAAAGCGTAGCAACAATTAGACAAAAAAAGTCTGGTTCTTATTTTTTGGTTTTTTTTTTATCTATGACATATGCAGATCTATAAGTCTTTTGACAATCGAATTATATGCAAATAGGCTTGAAGAAGAAGCATATAAGGACAGAAGAGGATGATGAACGAAGTAAGAACTTTTGTTTAATCCTTTTTATTGGTGAGTTTAGCACTGAAGTATTTGAAGCTTGTTTTAAATCTTATGTGGTTTATTTTGACACAGTACATATGAGAGGGAAGAGAGTGAGGATGAACAATTAACGATCTGAAGCTGGTTCATCTTCATTGACCAACTCTCGTTCTGTGCGCTTTGCTTTGTCTTCAAAATCAAATGAAAACTCTCTCGTGAG